CTGGGGGGTGGAAGCTGCCAGGGAGAGGACAATGGAGGAAAAAGGAGACATATGTAAAACTTCAAACAATAAGTAATTTAAATTTTTAAAAAAATCATGACATGTTCACTTGGCCACTAAGCATCATAGAATAAAGAGAAAGCACATCCCAGCAACCCAGAACCTTCCTGTTTAATTTTGCGTGATTCTCTCATCTCTTTGCTGAATCTTGTTTCCTGCTAAAAAAAATAAGCCTATATAATAAAAGGGTAATATGCAAATTGACCAAACAACGGAACAACTGGAATGCCTGTGGCCCCTTGCCCTGGAGTCCCCGCTCCTGAGTAGGCACCCCCACCCCGATCAGAGGGGGGGCTGGCCGGCAAACTGCCCGCAGTCCCTCACCCCGGCAGGCCCTGACCACGGCCCCTTGCCCCAGCCAGACAGCCCCTGATGGCCCCCATCGGGGTGGGGTGGCTGGACCCCACCAGTGCATGAATTCGTGCACCAGGCCTCTAGTCTGAATATAATTCTGAATGAAGCCACCAATCAATAAAGTGAAAAAGTTTATTCTATTTAATCACTGTAGGATGATACAGTGATTAAATTGTCCATTTCTCTAAACTTCATTTTTTATCTTTGATATTTAATTTGTATTCAAAAAATATTTCAGCAACAGTTAAACCTTCCATTTTTTCCTACCTACCCTGTCCATCTGAACCGTGCCCTCACCTCCTCATCCCTTCCCTGAATCAACAATTGCCACTGTCGGCATCCTCAACTTCCTTCCCTCAAACTCCCTTCCCGTCTCTTCTCTGATGGTCCACCACCATCTGGAGCCCCAGTCCCTTCATGAAGCTCCTAAAGAGATTTATCTACTCCATAGCAACCACAATCCTTCAGAACCAAACCATCTCTGGTTGTCCTACAACAGAGACCAAGAGTATAGGATGCTTGATGGATACCACTTTCCCTTCAGGACACTTACTGGAGAATTACCTGGTATTTCTTCTTTTTTTGTTGTTTTGTTTGTTTTCTCAGGCACAAAGCTTTACCATCAGTACTTTATTAAACATTATCTCCCAGAGAGGTCACTCCTGACTGTCTCATCTAAAGTCCCTTCTTTATCACAGCACACTGCTTCCTTCATAGCAGTATCACAACATTATTTATTTAATATCTGTCTCCTTCACCAGTCTTCCAGCCACAGGAGGACAGGGACTTTATTTAGTCATTCTTCAATGGAGGCCAAATATCTAGTGCGGTGTCTCATAAAACACCAAGTACTCAATATATATGCGTTGAATTAATCAATGAAATTTGGGATGTTTATGTGCTTCCACATAGTGTCAGGCTCCATGGGGGAACAACAGACATGGTCCTCCATATGGAATTATAATTTAACACCAACAATTTTGTTTGGGAAACTTATAAGTGTATGGAACTTACCATCTATTTGGGAAACAAGACACAATACACTAAAAAGGCATAGTATCAATTACAAGCACCTAACAGGAAAGGAATCAGGGTTGAAAGAGATGAATGAATGGATGGATGAATGGATGAATGGATGGATGAAAGCAGCCACCAGAGAAAGTTACATGGACAAAGTGAGACTTGTGCTGGTCTTTGGTGGATGAATTAAATTAGGCTAGAGAACAGCCCAGATGGCATTCCCCAATGAGAGGAAGCTGACAGAGCGTATGCCAAGGAAGGAGATGTGAATAAGCCTGACCTATGCGGAAATGACACATGCAAGACTCACGCTGCTGAAGAGAACCGGCTGGGCAGCCTGGAAACAGATTATGAAATGAGAGGCCAAATTAGGAAGAGCCTTGAACACAAGAAGGAAGCCTTTCCATTCGATGCCATTGTCAAAAGAAAACCTCCACAGGGTCAGTGGGGAGGATGCTGGTGGCACTGGTTAATATCAGCCTCGTAGTTACAATCAACCAAGTAACACAAGACTGGAGGCCAACAAAGAGGCAGCGGTGGCCACAAGGGAGAAGAGAGAAGCAACAAATACTGACAACTGTGCAAGTTCCCACAACGGCCCTTTCTACGTTGAAAAAGAAGAAAAGCCAAAGGGAGAAATTATATGGTTTCAGTGGGAATAATTATAAACATGTTTTCTTTGCCTTGGATGAATATATACTACATGCCTGGGAGATAAGAACAACATAGTACTTACTGTTAATGACAAATGTTAAGTCCTTCTACCAACCGGTAACACTTCACACTAGGTAAATGAGGCTGATCACAAGAAAGAACCACTGAAAACCTGTCACAGCTCTGCCCCTTTGAACAGCCCCAGACGCCTATACAAACTATTCCCTAAAGACGTGCAACAGAACAGAGCCACGTGGCCTCTCAATGGCACCAGGATCCACACTAACAAGGCAAAGCTCAAAATCACACGAATCCAAATGTTCAAGGCTGGTACTTAAAGCAGAGAAGCAAGCAATGGGGGTACTTGCCTAAAATAAGACAATATCTTTTCCTTAAATAAAAAAAGAACCTAAAGAAAATTAAAGGTACTATTCGTTTACGCCCAAATCCCAAAAGCCATCCTTATTACTAAAAAGAAAAACATTGGACTCTTAAGACCAATTATGACCAAAGAACTAGCTGTCAAAAGACAGAAAAACTATGTTATTATCTCTTAGGTGGCATTAAAGATTGAATTCTATTTATTAGGCAATATAGATATTAGGTAGATAAGTGGATATTTATGGATACTCACAAATTGTTCTTTATATCTTATTCTGAAATAAACACAAAATTCTAACTGAAACTGCTTTGTCAACAAATTAGTTGTATTACTTTAGTCTTCAGACTTGGGCAATGGAGAGCAAGCAGTTTTTAAAAGCTTGAAAAATATTTAAGTGAATTTGTTATAAGATATCTTTGTCTGTAGTTAAGGAACTAAACACAAAGAAAACTACAGGAACAGAACATTTTAAGAAAGTCATACTACACTGTCATTTAATCATTCATCATTAAATCATTCCATTTAATCATTTTTGGAATACTGACTACATTTCTGGCACTGTAGAGGGTGATGTGGTACAATGAACACCTCCTTCTTGCAATTAACATCCCAGCATTAGCTTTGACGGCAGTGATTCAAATTGTCTTCTGGGATGGAGAAGATTCCAACCTGAAGAACCAGTTACAATATTTGTTGCATCCTGACCTTGAAACAAATAATTTAACCTCTCCAAGTCACTCACTTTTAGCCTGAAAAATAGGGATTTCCCAGTGGTGGGGAACTGCTAAAATAGCCCCCAACATTCACCTTCTCCTCATATCCATGCCTTTAGGTAATGCTTCCTGCCCCTTAACTGTGGGCTGGACCTAGTGACTTGTTGCTAATGAACAGAGCCAGGCAAGTTATGGATATCACTTCCAAGATCAGGTTATGAAAAGACAGTGGCTTTTGTCTTGCCCGCCCTATGGAGACCCCACACAGCAAGGAACTGAGGGAGTTCTCTGGCCAGCAGCCTGTGAGGAACTGAGGTGCTCAGTCCAACAGCTGCCAAGAACAGAATCCCGCCAATAAGTCTGTGAGTGAGCAAGGAAGTGGCTCCTCTCACAGCTGAGGACTCAGAGGAGACGTCAGGCCTGGCTGACACTTTGAGGAGTCTAGTCGTATGAAAACATCAAGGCACCTAGCTAACCCACAGCCAGGCTCCTGATCACCAGAATCTAGGAGGTAATAAATGTTTGTTGTTTTTAAGCCACTAATTTTAGGGGAATTGTAAAAAAGCAATAGATATTTAATATAATAATATAAATGCAATTTGTAAAACAGAATATACTATATAAGGTTTTAAAAAATTATATCTTGGACAATCCTAAGTAGGGATTTTTTTAAAGTCCTTTTAAGACCTTCCTTGTCTTGAATAAAAGTAATCTGCTTATCTACTGTTATCTAATATATCTGAAATTTATCCAATTAACACATCAATAGTACCAATCATTATGAATACTATCATTAGTAGTGTTTATAAGTAAATCAACCATCAAAAAAGTAAATTAGGAGTCAATCAACCATCAAAAACATTAGAATTGAATCAACCATCAAAAAAATTTTTTGGCAAATTTTATGAAGCTATCAGCGTTACTTAGGACACAGAGGGCAAAAACATAAAGGGAGAGCAAGACCAAACATTAATATCAGACAAAAGACTTTAGAGAGAAAAATTAGCATAAGAATATACTGAATGATAAAGGAGCAGCATACTAGAAAATGACAATCCTGCATCTATAGCTGCCAGACACTGCCTGGCGAAATTATAAACATACAAAGCAAAAATTCAGACTTCAATTTTTAACCCTAAATCTTTCCCCAATTACACTGTATGAGACACACTTCAAAAAATTATCAGAAGCAGATCTGCTAACAGAATTGATATTCAAAGGTGCTCCCATAAGAAGTATGACTTAAGCATTTCAAAAACAGGGTTAAGAGCAATTAACATAGTACAGATATTGTTTCAACAGGTAGCTGTGGCCAGCAGGCAACATGTTTAGTAGACTGACTCACTGGCCCCCATTGTTCCCTCCATTTAGCCACACCCTTTGCCATGAGACTGCAGGCCCCCCTCTGGAGGCAGGGTGCTTCCCCACCCAGTTACTTTGAGCTCTGCCATAGGACTTGCTGTGACCAATGAAGTGTGAACAGAAGTGACAATGTGGAGGTCCTAGGCCTAGGCTTTCTTGCACATCGTGTGGGTTAACCCAGTGATGTACTGGAGCCAGCTTATACCAGTTCAGGAAAGCTGATTAAGTCTTCAGGGATTTACAGGTTATTGTTAAAAACGTCCATTAATAAAAATTAAATTACCAAGAGTTAAAGATAAATTCTATTTTAAAAGGTACTCAAAATTCGTAACTTCCTAATTATTCTATGACATTTTACTGCTAAATGTGCTTTTGAGGTTATCTGTTGAACCTGCGTGATGAAAAATACTATATAATGGTGTGCTACTGTGCAGCTCTTCCCAGTGACGTCATACAGGTAGCCTGAAGTCAGCCATGAGAGGAATACATGCACCACAGGAATGGGCGGATCTTTTCTTCCGGACAGCTGGTTAGGCTTCTATCACCAGAAGTGATTCCTGAAAGCGTCCACCCTTTCAGCTGGGGCCCTAGAAAGAACACATATGCAGCAGATCTGAGCCAGCTCACAGCAAGGAGGCAAGTCCAGCCAGACCACAATCAGAAGCAGAGCCACTAGCTGAGCCCAGCCTCGATCAGCCAATCCACAGGCAACCAAGAGAACCCTGAGTCTGAGAACAAATCCTGATTGAATGAGCAGATTTATGAGAGAGTTAGTTACTCAACATTATTGTGGCAATGGCTGACTGAAACACATGGTAAACTGGGGTTTGGTCAATTAGTCTATCTGAAAAAGTGGGACAGAAAAAAAAGGTGAAGTGGTCTAGGCCCTGGAAGTGAGAAGCTGATGGGCACCCACAGAGAGAATAATATCAATGCCATGCTCAAAGAGTGTAATGAACCAAACTTGGGTGGTGAGCACACAATGCAATATATAGATGATGTATTATAGAATTATACACTCGAAACTTATTAACCAATGTCACCCCAACAAATTTAAATTTTTTCCTGAGGGGGAGAGGGAGAGGGGGAGAGGGAGAGAGAGAAACAAAAATCAGCTGTCCCCCCGCATGCACCCCAACCGGGGGCTGAACCCGCAACATGGGCATGTGCCCTGACCAGGAATCAAACCTGCCACCCATTGGCATACAAGATGACGCTCCAATCAACGGGGCCAAAACAGCCAGGGATATAAATTTAATTTTTAAAGAGAAGTATAGTGAAATAGCAGTACTAAGGACCAAATGTGATGTTACAGAAGGGTGGCCTGCGCAGGGAATGCAACAGGAACTTATTTAGCCCTACCACGCACCAGGCAGTGTCAGGCACCATGGATTCAGCAATGAAAGGAGAGATGCAGTCCACGTACTTACAGACTAGGAGAATAAACATGTAACTCTAGAGGCCATTATATAATCCACGGTGCTGAGGGGCCAGCGAAAGGCCAGTGGCAGTGTGTACAGAAGCACAGAGGAAAGGCCCCTCAGCCAGTTCATGGGATCTCTGAGCAGAGAATACTCCCAAAAATTCAACCGAAGTGATGAGGAAGGCTGCTAGAATTTAAAAAAAAAAAAAGAGAGAGCTCTACAGGAACAATGAGCAGGATTTGACAGGTGATTAGATCACAAGGCATCATAGCTGGCTTTGAACACCAGCTGGGCCAGGAAACAGCCCATTCTGCTCCCCCTATATCAGGTGGGGGCTGTTCACAGGAAGAGGTCCTATTCATCTATGCAACCCCAGGCACAAAGCCTAGAGACTGCCCAACATCGGTGCTCAGACACTGATTACTGCCACTGTTCTCACCTCTCATTTGCAGCTTTATCCATTCACCTGCCAGACAACCCTGAACATGTCCCAGAAGCAAAACTCAGCAGCTCAAATTCAGTTTGCATTTCGGAAGAGCATTTATGCACAAGTACTGTCTATGCAGGAGGACATCCAAGTGGGTTAATTCAGCATTTGGCCCAGGACTTCTAGGAAGCATTGCATCACAAAAGCAGGATCGCCCTGTGCTCCCAACCAAGGGAGAGGACACACACTTGTGGAGGACACCACTTCCTTTATAGACTTTTGAAAATCCAAAGTGTAAGCCTATTACTTACACTTACAAAGGTATGTCCAAAACCAGCCAGCTAAAACAAGCAATTTAAAGTAGAAAAATGAAATGTCAAGCTATTCTAAAATTGGCTCTTTTAATTTAAACAGTCCCAATTGGTAGTGGATGATCACAATCACAAAACAACAAGTCTTAATCTAAGATTTTTGATTCAATAATTAATTCTATAAATATGACTACCCTGCAAATAATGTAAAAACAAACTTCATTTTTGGCCACATTGTAAATCCAGCCAACTAAAGCCATTCTTACTAGATGACAATTCAAATATTGAAACACAGGAGGAAAATATAATATTTGACAAGGCTTTCATTTAGAAATATCTCGGGGTACAGTTCAATCGAGCATGAGTCTGTCCTTCGGAGATTGTTAGCCTGCAATGAAATATTAAAATTAATAGGCCCATTCTCTTCAGAGACTTGGATAAAAAATAAATTATATAAAAAAAAACTCAGTAGAAATGCCAGACAGGATAGAATCATTTAATTAAAAAAAAAAAGTAAGTTAAATCACTAAGCCATTACTGTCTTTTTCTGCTACTGTTAAATATGCACCTAAGGCATTTCTGGCATAAAATCTAAAATATAAGCTGTGGGAGACACATAAAATAGGCACCCCATTTCATTTTCCTGCTTCGGCTCAACTTCACTCGTGAGCATCCTGTGCACTTGATTCTTTTTCACCAAATATTTCTTTCTGCAGCAGAATCTCTGCCATGCCAAGTTAAACTTTCCCAAATCTTCGTGTTCTAATCATAGCACAGCAAACTTGGGTAAAAAATAAATAAAAATAAAATAACTGAGTGAGGCTTCCTTAAAATGACTAGGACCTATCACAAAAAGCAGCTTCTGAATTCAGATTTTTAAAAATATTATGGCCAAAGTCACCACATGGCCACAAAACCTGAAATAGCATGTAAATACTGAGTGCAACTACACGCACACACATGCACACACACATGCACATACACATATGCACACACTCACACACACATGCACACACACACATGCACACACTCACTGGCTACATTCACCACTCAAAGTTAGGAATTTCCCGCAAATTGTAGAGTATCAATATGCAAATGATTTATCACATATCATTAAACTGCAGGTTATTAGAGGTAGGTCTAATTCCTACCTGACTCCTATATTTCTAAAGTGTAACTCAAAAACTCAGTCTTTTCCCTTATGTTTGAGACAGCAAAGGTAGAGGCATGAAAACTGAATGGTCCAGTAAATTCTCTGAATGGTTCAGTAAATTCTCAAGAAGCAATTATAGCCTGCCTGTGGCGAGAGACGCGGTAGTGTGTGAGTATATAATGGGCCTTTACTTCCTACACTTCATCCAGGGAGCCTGGAACCCATCCCCCATGCCTCAAGAATTCTGCTTGATTCTGCAGACACTAAGTCTTCAATCAAACTGCAAACAACTTGGGCCGGTTATATTGGATTATTCAAATCATTTTTTCCTTGTTTAAAACAATGCAAATATTACAGATAATTTTTCTTTTAAGAATTGATCTATGCAAAACATTGGATGATCACTTTCAACCTTCAGTATATGGTAAACACATACATAGCTCTTGTTCCTATTGGTTTTTTATTCAATATCTTTAGTCATTTGGTAAAAGCATCCTACCAGATATTTTGAAATTAATTCTTTAGATGTTGGACTCAAGGACAGACACAGGGCAGCCACTTGGGAGTGGGAGGAAGGGGTGAACCAGAGGCCAAAATATGCAGTTTTAAATAACCATTTCTTTAAAGATTTTATCATTTGTTATGGGAGGACAAAATATTTCAATGATGTCTCCATCAGTGATCCTGGAGCCAACTTTTGAAAAACGCCCAAGTTTTTCAGAAGAGAATGGGACATAGGTTATGAACAGGCAGCTTACTTGGCCAGCGATTCTGTATATGAAGGTCATTTGGAAATTTGTTCATGAAGCCCTGACATTCATAATCCCAGATTTTAGTCCTACAATGGCAGTTACATGCACTGGGAAAGCCAATCGGTGTTATACTCCATTTGGAAGCATGGGGCAAAGCTCCATGCTTGAAATTCACAGCAATGACTTAGACAAATAGCTAAGTTGGACACCTTATTTAAAGGTTATTTTGAGTCATTTAAATGTTCGGTCACATTGATCACAATAGGCTTTTAAAAGTTATAGGCTGCAAGCCTGGGCATTGCAAAGAAACATGACGGCGACCTGGAGCCTGACATGCACTTCTGTCAGCTCAGGTAGCTGCTTGGGGCTATAGCATTCTTGAGTTATTGAGCTGTATTCCACAGTCGTGATAAATGGTTTCATAAAGTGCTCGTGGCACATCTGACATCATCCCCCACTGAAGCCGAGGAGTAAGTGAGACATGAATTAGAGTTAAATGGAAAATAAAGGGTACAATGATTTTCTAATACTTGGTGTTAAAACAGATTAATAAAGAAATTAATAGTATCTCTATGAACAAAGATAATGAATGCTGTATTCTTCCCTAAAATAATAATAATAGCTTTCTGGAAAAATTACGTTAGATTTACACATTATCACCATGTTTTTGTTATTCCTACATGAGCAAAAATGACAAGTTAAGTAGCCACAGAATGTCACTTTTTAAAAGCTAGCAATTGAAAGGAATTTTTAGCACTTAGAGAAGCTCAAAGCTCAGCAAGAAGTAAAGAATTAAAATCAGAGTCTATAATTGAGATTTAAAATATATGTTGCTGTCACAATTCAATTTCTGATGTCTACTATAACCAGTGGCATTCCTTATTAAAAGGAGAGCTCTGAAAACAATCAAAATGATTTATCACAAAATATTTTTAAGTATATCCTTTATCAATGATAAAGTTTCCTCAACCAGTTATCTGACTGAATGACAAAAAGAAGGATTTATAACATTTATCCACTGCACATTGTAGAGGGAATGATATGAAACAATTGGGGGTGGAGGAGATGTACAAAAAAAGGACATTGTTTCCATTGTTAGAAAATGCCTTATAATTGCCTATGCTATCAATCTTCATTCCAGAACATTTTAGCCTGTTATAGTAAAATCAGAGTATGAGCAATATGGAACAAAAGGTACAACTATTTTAAGTCTTACACGAATAAAGAAAATATTTCTCTGTAAAATGTTTTAAAACTACCAGGTAAAGATGGAAAATTTTCAAACCTGGGAAGAATATCCTACCAAAGGAACAGGAAAGAGAAAGAAATGTGAAATGAACTAGAATTTAAAGGACAAAATAAGTTTTCAATGTTTGAAAAGTAAAAATTCAAAATAAAATTACAAACTCTGTCAGAGAATTCCAAGCAGTTCAAAATGGCTTATTATTATAAAAGCATATAACTTCAGCTTTAATTTGCCTGTACTTCTTTTAATAACAAACAGGCAGCTAAGCA